AGGAGGCCTGGGAACCTGACTGCTTCAAGTTCAACACCACAGCCTCCTGCACATCCCACGAGGGACAACAGGCCATTCTTCTATAGGGCGTCCCAAAATTCACGCAAGAAGTCATCTTGATAGAAAACACAGGTTTATAATTAAAAATTATAAATTTTCTATTGATTCATTAAGTATACAGTCTAGGGTTATGTATGGAATAGCCCATCGGGTCCATGGCCTCCCCGGCTTTGCTGGCACAGACGCAAAGCCGCGGTCTTCATTGGTCTTCCTTGCCCCTGCTCCTGGGCCATCATTGGTCCTTGGTGATGCTTATCACATTGAAGGGGTTGGCATCCAAGGGCAACAGAGATGAGAATCTGATTCAATAAACCAAGTAAAATTAGGCTTTTGTTTTTTGTCGTTGTTGTTAATGCTCACGCAGAATTCAAATCTTGCGTGAATTCTGGGACACCCCATAGCACCTTACGAGTCTCTGGATCCACGCGGCTAGCTCACCCTGCACTGCAGGCCACGCCCCGCAGGAGGCAACAACAGTGGGGCCACGGGACAGGACTTGGGAGCTAGAGGACAGGCCGCGGGGCCTCTGCGTTCGGCCTGCCGTGGTCCGAGGGGCTCGCCGCCCCGAAGCGGAAACCCACCCAGGCAGCGCCGGCCTCAGGCAGCGCCGGCCTCAGGCAGCGCCGGCCTCAGACAGGCACTGGCGCTGTCCTCCCAGCTCCACGGTCCCTAAACAGGAAGGAACTTGCACCGAAAGGCGCCGATGGAGGGGGCTGCCTGTGAGTCGCCCGGAGCCTGTTGTTCCCGGCACACGCCGCCCGCCTTTCAGTCTCAACTTTTAGTGACATCGTAGCAAGGCTTTCCTCCTGGGGCCCAACACCCCGATGGGGCGTGGGGCGCGAGAACGGGGGGCCCCCTCACCTCTCGGGGGCTCTGTGAACGTGCCCTCCTGGCTATTTCCTCCCTCACAAACACGCAGGCCACTGTGCTGACCTGCAGGGTTGCGGCCCACAGGGACGCTCTCTAGCTCCCAGATGCGGGGCATGAGGAGGTGTCCAAACAAGGGTGGTTCGGGAAAGGGGTTCCCTGAGGTTGGGGGGTGGGGTGGGGGGAAAGCCAGGGAGCTGCTGTCATTTGCAAAGCGCAGTGCAGTCTGCAGTGCTGGGACCAGCCTCGAGCCTGGGTTTATGACCCCGAATCTCTGGCCGTATTTACAGCTGCAGGAGGCTGGTCCGGAGGCCCTTCCATCCTCACCGGCCACTCCATCCCTACCTGGCGGCCTCTGGGTCAGCGCCGCCATGTTCTGGGGAGGGGGGGGGTTAAAGGAATTGATTACCTGAGAGGATGTCTTAGTTACCTGGCACAAGCCTTGTTGGGGTCTCTTTTGTTGCTGTTGTTTTCAATATAATTTTTATCTCCGAGAGGAAGGGAGTGGGAGAGAGGGATGGAAATATCAATGAGGAGCGAGCATCACTGAGGGGCTGCCTCCTGCACGCTGCCCGCCACTGGGGGTCCAGCCTGCAACCTGGGCAGGTGCACCCTGACCTCCTGGTTCCTACACAGGTCGATGCTCGGCCACGGAGCCACGCCAGCCGGGCCCTGTCGTCCATTCTGACACGCTGCGTGTCCGGGGACAGCTGTGTCCGTGTTCCTGGGCGTGCCAAGTGGCTGCTCTGGCAGGCGTGCAGGTGTGTGTGTGTGCGCGCAGGACCCAGGGAGGGACGTCCCTTCTGAAAGGCAGGGCTCTCGGATGGCTGGCCGCCTGGCCTCGGTCCTCTCCCCGCCTCCCAGCTGTGGAGCTAAAACCTGGGCAGGTGGGAACTCCGGGCTCCTGGGTCCTGGGAAATTCAGAGGGAGAGCCCTGACCGTGTGCGTGCGCGTGTGTGTGTGTGTGTGTGTGAGAGAGAGAGGGACCCACTGGAGGGGGGTGGGGAGGGAAGGGGTGGTGGGTAACGGGGCAGACCCGCTGGTCCCCTCGGAGCTTGGTTTCCAAAAGCCCTTCAAACCACCCATCCTACAAGGTCCCGAAGACCCGGTCACCTGTGCCTAATCCCGTGTTCCCGGGGCTGAGAGCTGCAGCCGCCCAGCCCCAGAGGCAGGGAGATGGGACGGGAGATGGGACAGACGGGGCGCAGCCCCCCACTCCTTCCCCCCCTCGTCTCCCCAGACTTCTCCCTCTTCCAGGCCGG